GGGGGACAGGGGGGTGACAGGGGGTGACACAGGGGGTTGACACAGGGGGGGTCCCCACCTCGTCGGGGCAGATGAGGAGGCGGAAGTGCAGGAGGTCGTCCTGGTCGGAGAAGTCGATCTCGCAGGTCTTGGGCAGGTTGAGCTCGTTGATGTCTACGGGGGGGGACACACACGTGTGACACGTGTGTGACATGTATGACATGCGTGTGACACGTGGCCCCGGCGCCACCCCCAGCCAAGCTGGGACCTCCCAGTGTGGCCTTACTGGGGTCAGCGCTGCTCCCCAGTAGCAACAGGGTCCTACCAATTCGGGGGGGACTGGGAGCAGCGTCGTGGCCCCTCCCACCAGTGCTCCCAGTGGGGGTCTACTGGGACCAGTGTCCCCTGCACCCGCGGAGCCGCGCTGGGATGAGAGCTCCACCCCGTGTGTGCCCCACCATGGTCTTACTGGGACCAGTATATGCCCCCACTGGGGTCCTACTGGGACGAGGAACTTACTCGCCACCAGGGCCTTACTGGGACCAGTATGTGCCCCCACTGCGGTCCTACTGGGACGAGGAACTTACTCGCCACCAGGGCCTTACTGGGACCAGTATATTCCACCCGGCAGGGCCTTACTGGGACTGGCCCGCTCCTCCCACCAGGACCAGACTGTGCCCCCCACTGGGGCCTTACTGGGACGAGTGCATTCCCCCCACCGGGCATTCCCCCCACTGGGGCCCTACTGGGACCAGCACATTCCCCCCCACTGAGGCCTTACTGGGACCAGTCCATTTGCCCTACTGGGACTAGTCCATTCCCCTTACTCGGGTCCTACTGGGACCAGCCCGTTTGCCCTACTGGGACCAGTACGTTCCCCCCACCGGGGCCTTACTGAGACCACCACATGCTCCCCCCTCTGCTGGGGCCTTACTGGGACCAGCCCATTTGCCCTACTGGGGCGCTACTGGGACCAGTCTGTGCTCCCCACTGGGGCCTTACTGGGACCAGTACATTCCCCTCACTCAGGTCCTACTGGGACCAGCTCATTTACCCTACTGGGACCAGTACTTTCCCCCCAGCGGGGCCTTCCTGGCACCAGTCTGTGCTCCCCACCGGGGCCTCACTGGGACCAGTCCCTTTGCCCTACTGGGACCAGGCCGTGCCTCCCCCCAGGCCCAGGCCCAGCCCCTGCTCCCCGCTTAGGCCCCACCGG